CTTGAATGTTTCGGCTTTTAGGTATACTTAGCAGATTCTTTCATTACTTTTTAACATCATTTATTTTTCTTACCCATATTTATCTGAAAATATGACACGCAACCAGCGGACATTTTGCAGTTTTACTTTACAAATCTTGCGAGGTTTGCTCTTACTTTTGACGACTTTCATAATTAAATTGAATCACAATTCTTAGGAATATATGGAATAGGAATTTTATGTAATTAGTACATTTTGTATAACTTAAATTCAATGATATTCAACTTAAACTTAATTTTGATATAATATCAGCTGGCATTATGACAAGGGTAAAGGAATGGATCCAAATGTCTGCTGTCTAACATACCTTGAATGCATATTCTCTCAACAAATTTCTTGCACACATAGTTTAGTAACTATATTCTGTTATGAGGATTGATGTTAAAGTTGGTTGGCAATATATTCACAATGCTCACCTGCTAAAAATACTCTTGTGTTTTGGGTTGAACATGGTTTTCACAGAAAATCTTGCTTTTGTATTAGCTACACAAGGAACATTAATGTACGAGTTACTTCCAATGTAACTTACTGTTCCTGATTTCATGCAGGTCAGGTCAGCTATTTTGACTGAGGTTCTCTGGTTGTCAGCTATTTCTACTGTGAGTTCAGGTCAGGTCAGGCCAGGTCAGGTCAGGCGAGGCCAGGCCAGGCGAGGCGAGGCCAGGCCAGGCCAGGCCAGCTATTTTAACTGCCAGGTCTCCCATTTTAAAAGCTGTTATATAATCGTGTTTCTGTTTTCTGGTGAATCACAAAATCATTTCACAAGTCCTCAAAATTCAATGTAAAGCATTGGAGACTAGTGGGCAAACCTTCAGTGGTAGCATTAGTCCAGCGCCCAATTAGACACTACCCCCCCCCCCCCAGAAAATGAGATTTTCAATCCACAATCCACATGTACAAATACCGGTAAGATACTTGTTACATCTGTTTATTCAATATACAGTTTTGAAATTAAAAAAATACTTTGTGTAACTGACATATACTGAAAACCATTTTTCCTTTGATAGTATGACCGTTGGGTCAGCTGATTTTTTGTTTGTTTAATACTCTAGTGATCTTCAACCAAATAAATGTAATTTACCATAAAAATTTGACTTCAAGCTTTTACCATTTTTTGCTCCGTTAGTAGCGCACTTACACAAATGAACTTTGTTTATGGTCAAAATAATAAATGCAGCTGCTGTTTTATATGCACTTCTATTGAAAATTGTTTTTGAAAATATATTGGGGCTGTAAAATGCAACAAAAGTCAATTTTGACGTTATTGCGTTAAACCTTCATTATACAATTTGAGGGTGTTCAGAAAAAAACATTTCACTACCGGTAACTCAAGATCTTCAGCAAAATGTTCACTGGTGCAAAAATATGTTCTGCGTATTATTCATGAAGAGGTAGACGACAGCTAAAATAATGAAAGACTCATTTACAATTCTTGTGGGATTTGTACAGGAAATAAAATTACTTGGGATTCACAACAAGTCAATGAAAAGTCACAAAGTTAGGGTTGAAAATGTCTTTAATGTGTGCACATGTTACTCTCGTTTGATCTGTTTCATGGGCTGTAATCACGTGCTATGATTACCGATATATCAGTTCTATTATTAGTAACATTGCAGAATCATAACTAACATTTTTTT